CAGGAGTAGCACACTGCTTCTTTGGGAAGTGACTTTTGTTGCTCTGGATTCTCACATGTCTGGTGTGCCAAAGCACTCTAGGAGGCTGTTGTGTGCACTGAATGAGGTGTCAGCACGCCACATCTTGTCCAGTTTCCTGGCACGTGCTTGGTGCTCAGTAACATCACCAGTGCATTACCAATATTATCAGCATACTAAATATAATTCTATCACTGTGCTCTGAGAAGTTTGAGTAGATCTCAGCCCACTGTTCCTGGCTGCTAATGCTCCCCAGACATCTTGCCTCACTGAGAGAGGAAGGTCACAGACATGTGAACTTCAAATCACTCTTTCAGTTTAGGGAACGACAAGGGTACCTCTGTAATACTATATGTAGAAAATGTACCTGAGGCATATAGCAAAACAATTGACACTGCTTAAAAATTCTTGGAAAGTCTCTATTCTCATTCTCACAAAAACTAATTCCCTTCCTCTAAAGGGGAGCTCTGGAGAAAGGATATCCAAGACTGCTGTCTCTTTTGATTGCTGCAGGTGTTTCTCTTCGGGGCAACTCTGTAGTCCTGGATATGAACCCTGACAGCCCCTGCACCCAGTGGCTAACTGTTTACACAGATGGGAAGAGAGCAAAGCCTGCTTGCCAAAGAATGCTGGTGTGATGTGGTCAAATGGACCAACTACTACAACCACAAAGGAGCCTTTGGAAACACTGCCAACTCTGGACTGGGCAGGAGCAGTGCTTCTTTGGGAAGTGACTTTTGTTGCTCTGGATTCTCACATGTCTGGTGTGCCTGCAGCAATCCAGAAAGAAAGCAGAAGGGTGAGTTACCTCTTGGGGGCCAGAATTGCATCTGTGCTGTGTATGGACAGGCACTGCTGCAGGGTAGAGTCCCTAAGCAGAACATGATGCTGTTCTGCAGTACGCATAGGTGTGATTCTGGACCTGTGCATCTGAGTGATTTTAGTGTGTGTGGGGTCTTTTCTGTTGTGGTTGGGGCAGTTGGCCATCACTGGACAGGAGAGTGGTGAACGTAAGACCAAGAGCCAACTCAGACTACATCTGGAGCCACCAAAGCCATGGGTTCTGTGCATCCACATGCCAAGGGACCAAAACTAAAGACCTTAGCCCAAGAGAGTGAAGATGCCAACGCCTTCTGGACACACCGCAGACCCTTGGGGGCTCTCACCTGTTGGCTTAGCAGCCAGAGGTGATGGTGGGAACCTAGTGGAGTTGGTGGAGGACAGGCGGGGCCTGCGCCTGCGGAAGAAGCTCCTCAGCAGCCCACACTTGAGAGATTCCACCAGGGTGGTTTTCCCGGATCCTGAGTGGCCAAAGAGCTTGAGCTTGATTCTTGGCTGCAGGTTCTGTGTGGGACGGAGCTGCTGGATGAAGAGTCCTCGGTGTGTGTCCTGGACATGGAGGAAAAGAGCCTGAGATCACAGGGAGGCAGAACCCCAACCACATGCTGCACCTAATTCTCAGGGTTCCTATTCCTGGGTTTTGCTCATGTTACAGACGTATTTTTTTCCTATCTCCATTGAAATTTTTAAAAATTCAGGTAAAATTCACATACCATCACCACTTTTAAGCATGCAGTTCACAGGTTTTTACTACATTTCTGTAATCTAGTTCCAGAGCACTTTCTTCACCCTAGAAAGAAACCTGACCCATCAGCGGTCACTGGCCTCACCCCTCTGTTCAGGCCCTGGCAACCACTGCTCTGCTTTCTGTCTCCCCGTTTGCATGGCATTCTGATGCATTGGGTGGAGCAACTGTGAAGCCATCACTTTAAACACAAAAAGAATGGGCTCTGTTTGGCCAATGGAGTGGCCAGTCTGACTCTGTGTGAAGATTCTGGTTCGCCAAAAACACTGTCATGGAACAGGTACGGCAAGGAGATGGGGCAGTACAAGGGACAAGGCTACCGGCTACGGAGAGACAGAAGGATACAACAATCTTTTTGCTTGCTTCTCAGTCCTAGAGGGAGAAGCAGGAGTCCCCCTAACTCATATTCATTCATGGATTCACTCACTTGTTTATCCACAAACAAGGAACATATCCTCCTTATGCTAAGGACCAGAAGACTCAGACAAGGCTAGATCTGCACCCTGGGGAGGCACACAACACAGACAGCTTGGCATAAAGTGGAGCATAAGTACTTTCTGGTGGGACAGTATTGTCCAGGTGCTCAACAAGTACCCTGAGAACCCACCTCAAAGTCTAGGGGGGGTTTCCTTTGTGCCATTTGTATGGCACACGTGCCTCCTCTCCACCTCATTCTGCCCTCTCCTAAACAGCAGCTACCTGTCTGCATGCAGTTCAGGTCCCCCCAAATCCAAGGGGACACCCCCTGCTTCACCTTAACTTCATGTGTCCCACAGAGTCACTCTCACCTGTCACCCTCCTGTAAGCTTCCTCCCCAGGTCTCAGTGACCCCAGACTATAGAACATGTGGAGCTCTGACCTTGTAGAGCAGGAGACAACAGGAAGGGAGAGAAAATCCCCAATACTGACACATGTAGTATGCCCTGGGAATAGGTGCTGTAAAACTGGCTTCAGTCACAGGGGTCCCTTACAAGGGCATCTTGGTGAGCTCTCATATGTGGCTGAACTATTTCTTCAGTTCTAAATTGAGAGATGCTCATTTTCTGTTCATCTCTAACAGATGGACCACATCTACATCTTCCATTAATAACTATGCAGTTACAAACTCACAGTCCCACAACCCCCACCCAGACTCCAATTTTCCTATCTCCATTTTTGATTTCTAAGGTGGGGGGTACCAGGCATTCTCAGCAGAGGTAACACTGCCACCTAGTGGGTACTGTGGAAAGCTGCAAGAGGCATGTGCAGTTCCTGCAATGTCACTGGCACTCTACTATGCTGGATGCTAGGTGTCGCAATGATGTCTGTACAAAATATTCCACACAATGAAGAATGTTCCTGGGTCCAAGTCAGCATCTGATGAGCATTTCTATATAAGACAAACCTGTTCACAATTGTCTGAGTATAGGATTTTTTTTTTGTTGTATTACATATTTTTATCTTCAGTGAAGTTGCTCAGATTAACAGATGCAAGTATGCAAAACAGATCAAACAATTAAAAAGACAGTATAGGATTTAACTGCATTTCATGCACAATCCAGAGGGCTTGGGGATGGCATGGCTTCATATACCCTGAGTTTTCCACGATTATGACTATTTTATGAAATGGCCTTTGAACACATTTTGCTTTTGTTGTTATGTTATGTGACTGCTCATTCCCCTATCTCTGAAAACCCCATTAGCAGGCCACAGTAGCCTTCGAGCTGCCAGACCAGTGGTCCAGGTGGTGCTTGCAGGAACTGCTCCCAAAAGTCCTGGCATCTGCCCCTTTACCACCCTCCATTTGCATACTGAGACCACTATGTCTTCTTATAAATAATTTTCCTTTAAAGTCTGTTCTTTTCCAGGGAGGGAACTTTGCTGACTTCTACAATTATCTGTATGGATGAGATGGACTAGATGTGTATAGATATGTGTGGGTTTACTTCAGGGAGGTAACGGGGCACTACAGAAGATCTTTTGTAAAATGCTGAGGAGGGTAGGGTTGGGAGCCACAGCTTTGATGGTGACATGTGGAATGTTCTGGTTACTACTTCTAACTTCAAATCTCAACAGATTCCCAGACAAAATGCCACAAACCTTGGAAATGGGTAGGGTATCTCACTAGCAACCTCCCTGGTTAATTATCGAAATCAGCACAAAGGCTGACAAGGCTCTATTCTGAAACAGGTGGACAGGGGAAGCACTTGGTAGGTTGGGAGGAACAGGCTAGGATTTTCTCCTGTGTTTTCCCTGCTACAGGTCAGCCACTGTGACCCTGCTGTCTCTGACCTGCTCAAGACATCTGACCTTCCTGCCATCGACTTTACCTTCAGAATTAGCCACTTGCCCACCTGGATCCACAGCACTGCCCTCATCTCTGTCACACAGGAGCCCTGAGCTGGGTCACTGTGCCAACAGCCATCACCTTCCACGGTAAGCAGCCTGCCAAGCAGAAGCAGCATTTTTCAGAACACACAGCTCGCTCGACACTGAAACCCTGCTCAGCACTGTCCACGTCCCTGAGATAAGAGAAGACAGCACAGCCCCCGCTTCCAGCTGGAATGCGTCATGGGACTCTGGGCACTTATTCCCAAGCTCTGACAGCTTGCAGCTCACCTCCACCCATTCTCCGCCCTGTGGTTCCTGACAGAGCTCTGGAGCAATAAAGGAGCCCTCTTTCCATCCTGCAACAAGCCCCAAGGCCCTTGCAATCACAGAAGACTGGAACTACAGAAACCTACACACACTGCTCCACACCACTGTGGCTTCTAGAAGCAACTGCACCTACATGGTGACTCTCTCCTGGGTGCTGAGGGTATGTCACATCTAAGCCTTACTTGTACAGATCCTGTAGTCCCCTACTTCAAGCATAGGGCAGGGCAGTGGTGCATCAGCAGCTGCTGGCATCTGTGCACCTATTTCCTGGGCCAGCCCAAGAAATGTAGGAGGACAGGACAGGCAGCCAGGACGGGTGAGATTCCTGTCTGTGGTGATAACTTCCTCGTGCACATCTTCCAACTCTTGTGTTCTCATTCCCATCTCTTCTTTAAAGTGAGTGAAAGGTTTTCATAATTCCTTTATAGTTGCTGTGGCGCCACCTACTGGAGACTATATGCATGGCCAATATGGCACTGGCCCTTAGAGGCCATGTGCTAAGCCCCACTCTTCTTCCCAGAGTCGAATTACAACTTCCTATTCCTCTTTATGTAATACCCTGTTTCATTTTCCCACACTCCTGCCCAATGCTAGCCTGCCATGTCAGCTAGCCCACCCCCTGAACCCCGCCTCTAGCCTGACCATATTTAATTAACCATTGTCCCCATGACCCAGCCCCCAGAAGATTCTCTTTCTCTGTCAATCTTCTCTGTGCCCTCCACAATAAAAGTGTTTTATTGTTTTATTACTCTCTGCGCGGCCGGCTGGACACCTTTTATTATTGGTGCCGTGACTCGGACTGGTGGGGGCTGTGTGGCCTTGCTATGGGAAGGGACTTTCCCTCCCTTGGTTTAAGCCCCGCCCCCCCAACGAGCCACTTTTCCTTTGTCTGGATATGTGTTGTTGCCAGCCTGCATGCAATACTGACTAGCTCTAATTCTCACAGGTGAGCCTCCCTTTATTCGAGGAGTCTTACGTCTCTCTTATCTGAAAGTCTATAAATCACAGGCCTGTGTTAAGACTCCTTTTCGGGACTACTGCGTCCCTTCCATCCTACGGTACTCCCTTCTGCCTTCTCGGTGACGACTGGGAGGGTAGATTTGGGCACTTTCTCCTCTCTTGCACCTCTGACAGGGTGACGATTCTCTCAGGGGTTACGAGATCAGCTGCTCTAGACTCCTGCTCACCTTTGGTCTAGTCATAAAATGGGAAAGATTTATTCCCATCCTCCCAAAACACATTCCATTCGGTTGTGTCCTGTCCAACTTAACTGCTTTGAGACTTGGAGACACGCTCAGACCAACACAATTAATCTTTTATGGCCAGACGGTCTGTCCTGGCTACAAACTAGACAATGAGAGCCACTGGTCTGCAGATGGCACTCTTGACCTTACTATTCTTACAGATCTAGATAACTTCTACTATTGCAACAGCAAGTAAAAGCAATTATGCTTTTATTGTTCTTAGGGCACGTCTTTCTCTCCTCTAGGCATGTGGGACTGCCCAACTCTGTTTGGTTCATTTCACACCACCAGAATTCCCTCCTAAAGCCTCTCCTGGCCCTCTCCACAATGTCTCTCCTGTCTTCACTCCCCCTCCAACCTATCTTCAGTCTCCACAGGCTGACTCTTCACCCTCTCCCTCCCAACCTGATCCTAATCAGCCAGATGGCCAAACCTCCTCACCTCAGCCAGCTCAACCAGCAGCCCAGTCCCCTTCTCTCTACCCTCCTCTACCCACTTCTGAGCCCTCTCCATCTCCCAAACTTTCTATTCGCCTAGCCCCCACTTTCCAGACACCATCCTCCCATCCAACTCCTTCTCCCTCTGCCTCCCCCGGGGCTCACTCCTGCTCCCAGCCCCATGCACTTGGCCCCATGCTCAATCTCATTCTCCTCCTCCACAGTCTCTGCCCTCTGCAGACACAGTGTCTGTTTCATCTAAAGGTTCCTCTTCTCCAGCTTCTTCCCCTTCCCCATCGCCTTCCTCTCCTCCCACTTACAACACCCGATCTAAGGGGACACATGATAGAAGGACACAAGAGGGTGATCTTCAGCCACATGGTCACCGGCAGCCATCCTGCCTTGGGCTACATGGTCACGGCGGCTATCTTGCTGTAAGCCTCATGACTGCTGTAGGCCATCCTGCCACGAGTCACATGGTCACCAGCAGCCATCTTGCCTCAGGTCACATGACCACCCTCTGCCATCTTGCCCTGACCCCTCGCCGCACCCCCCTCCACTTACCCTTCACCACCTCCTAATTCATCTCAACCTCAACTTGTATGCTCCCTTCGGGAACAGGCCGGCCCTAAAGGGCTAATTCATATCCATGTTTCTTTTACCCTCACTGACCTTTTCCAGATTTCTAATAAATTGGGGTCTTTTACAGCTAGTCCTCACAGATATATTTCCAAACTAGAGTTTATCACCAGCTCTTACGATTTACATTATAAAGATCTTTTAACCACCCTCAACTCCACTCTTTCTCCTCATCAAAAAAAAGGAGTTACACAAAACAGCCCCAAAAGAGGCTAACATTAAGCACCAAGCTAATCCAGATTATCCTGATAGAGCTGCTGCGGTGCTATTTACAGATCCCTGTTGGGACTATCAGGAGTCTGAGGGTTCCCACAAAGTCAACATAATGATCAATTGTATTATAGTGGGCCTTAAAAAGATCTCTCATAAGCCTGTTAACTATAATAAACTTGTGAAACAGACTCAGAGGACAATAAAAATCCTGCTGAGTTTCTGGCCAGACTCACTGACATGCAAAGTCAGCTTACAGATATCGATCCAGAGTCAAATGCGGAGATAGTACTTGTTAACTCTCACTTTATCTCGCAATCAGCCCCAGATATTCGACCTAAATTTAAAAAATCTGAGCTCAGCCCTCACTCCTCACAAAAAGAGCTCTTAGCCTTGGCCCTTCGTGTCTTCAATAACAGGTAAGAATGACAAAACTTAGATAAACAGGCTAACAGGCTGGCAGTTGCTAAGGTGGCTGCCCATTATCAACATGAGCTTCTAGTAGCAGCACTCGGGGTTTCTAAAGCAGACAGACCTGAACAGGTGGATGCCAAACAAGGCAGTGCCAACAATGCCCGAGCCCCTCCTGGACCATGCTTCAAATGCGGCAATGAAGGACACTGGGCACGAGCCTGCCCCAACCAGAGACCACCCAAGAAGCCTAGTCCCATCTACAACCTCGAAGGCCAGTGGAAATGTGACTGCCCTGCCTGCCACAGAGTGGGTAAGTCATGCATCTCCCTACCCTCACAGGACAACTTGTCACCATGGGAATCTTCGATTGCTCATCTCCTGGGCATCACCACAGAAGAAGATTGACGGGGCTTGGGCTCCACGGCCCCCATTAAGGTATCCTACTTGGAGCCCTGAGTCTCGCTGGAAGTCTCAGGTAAGACACTCTCTGGTCTTGTTGACACGGAGGCCACACACAGTGTTCTTCCTGAGTTTTCAGGTCAATGTATTAGATCCAGAGTCTCTATAGTAGGGGTTGATGGCCAACCAAAACAGCCCTTACAAACAGGGCCTATCCCCTAGAGATTCCAATCTCTTTTTTTTACTCATAGTTTTTTGGTGATACCTACATGTCCCACACCTCTAGTGGGCAGAGATATCCTCCAAAAGCTTAACTTCTCCTTTACCTTCTCCCTCCCTACAGCTCTCGTTTTCCAAGCTCCACCACCACACACAGCCAACCCTGATCCTCCCCTTCCCCCTTCACTGGTTGATCCCAAAGTTTGGGACACCTCCAGCCCTACCCTTGCTACCCATGCTGTCCCTGTTTGTGTCCATCTCAGGGACCCATCAGCCTTTTCCTGCATTCCCCAATACCCAATAGCCCCCAAACATCAACAGGGACTTAAACCCATAACCCAGTGTCTCCTTGCTAACAGCTTTGTTAACGCCACCCACTCACCCTACAATACTCCTATCCTCCCGATAATCAAACCCAATGGCTCCTATTGCTTAGTTCAAGACCTCAGGGTTATTAATAATACAGTCATACCTATTCATCCTATAGTGCCTAACCCCTATACCATGCTCTCCCATATTCCCCCTTCCACAACTCACTTTATGGTTCTGAACCTCAAAGATGCCTTTTTCATCATCCCACTACATCCAGACTGCCAAACCCTCTTTGCCTTTATGTAGACAGACCCAGATACTCTTCTATCTCTACAGCTCACATGGACAGTACTACCCCAGGGATTCAGAGGTAATCCTCACTTCTTCAGTCAAGCCCTAGCTACAGATCTAGAGACCCTTAACCTTAAACCCAGCACTCTACTCCAATACATAGATGACCTCCTTCTCTGTTCCCTTCCCATACACTGGCGATACAACACACAGCGACTCTCCTCAATTTTCTGTCAAACCGAGGATACGGAGTATCCCCAACCAAAGCCCAAATAGCCTCCTCAAAGGCCAAATATTTGGGGCTCACTCTCACTCCCACCACTTGTTCCATTACACAGACCCTAAGGATCCTCTACGTGATCTTCAGGGCCCAATCACAAAACAACAAATCCTCTCTTTCCTTGGTTTAACAAACTTTTTTCTTCTCTGGATTCCTAACTTTGCTTCTCTCACTCAGCCATAAGGCATCCAAGGGCTCCTTGTCTAAACCTCTCGACCCTACCGGACCTATACAAAGCTCTTTCCGTAAGCTACAGGAGGCTCTTTTGAGAGCCCCAGATCTCACTTTACCTGACCCAACCCAGCCCTTCATTCTCTAAACTTCCCCTCAGGGACACTTGCCACCCGCTTCTTTCCCAACTCACCAGCTCCGAGGGAAAACACCAGGTGAAGACTGGCAAGTTGACTTCACACACATGCCTCACTACAAAACCTATAGATATCTTCTTACCCTTGTTTGCACCTTTTTTGGGTGCATAGAGGCATTCCCTACCACACGAGAAACTGCTAATGTAGTTTCCCAGGCCCTTATACAGGACATCATTCCCAGGTTTGGACTTCCCCGGACTATATAGTCAGATAATGGTCCAGCATTTATCTCACAGATTACTCAACAGGTCTCTTCTAGCCTTAACATTACTTGGCACCTACACATACCATATCATCCACAATCCTTGGGCAAGGTAAAAAAGGCAAATTGACTTCTAAAGACTCACCTAACCAAACTAATCTTAAAATTACACCTGCCTTGGCTCCAGCTTCTCCCCTAGCATTAACTAAGCTCAGGGGCACTTCCTAGAGCACCCACTTTCCTGAGTCCTTTTGAGCTCATGTACGATAGGCCATTTCTGCTTCATAACTTCCCAACTCCTGACAACTTACTCCCTATTGCTGACTACATCCCAATTTTATCTTTTCTTCAATACCTATTGCATCAGTATGCTGACCTCTGTCTTCCACAACCAGTGGATGGCAAACAGCCAGAGCCACCCATAACACCTGGAGACTTAATGTATCTTAAAGCTTCTAAGCCTATAGGACTACAATCAAGGTGGGGAGGCCCCCACTTGATGGTCCTCATGACTCCCACAGCAATCAAGGTCGCCTGCCTTCCGTCCTGGTTCCACATCATCCAGGCAAAAAGGTGCCCCAGCAACCTGGTCACTCCAGACCCCAAACCTTCAGCACCAGAGTGGTCATCACAACTTTTATCTCCTACCCATCTAAAACTCACTAGAACCTCTAGTGAGTTACCAAGGTAAGCAATCTCACTTTACCTGACCCTTTTCTGCTCTTGGTCCTCTACGTACTACTTATCTTATTAGCACTTGCCGTTGGACTGTGGACTGTTTGTCCAAGCGATTTCCAGATGCCACAAAAGCTAGCCATAGTCCTCCTATACTTGATAATGACCTTTGAGATCTCCACCCTCCTCTGTCTACCTCAGACCTCACAAATATGATTCTGTTTCTGAACCTCATACTATTCCTACCTTTTTTCAGCTCCACTACAAACACAACATACCTACACCATAACTCTATCCGACCAAGATATAGTGCGTTCTCACAATTTTACTTCCTCAAATCCCAAGGTTACCTTTCAGGTTCCATACTGTCCAACGGTATGCATTCAACATACCTGGGAAGCAGACAAACAGATACAAGTCTGATGAGCGACTGCACACGTCTGGGCCCCAACACCAAGACACTTATACAGTGGCCCCAAGGGACCATGCTGCCATCTGCGTGGCTTATACGTCGCTCCTTGGCCCACCACTTTTTGCCAGCGGCAATACCCGATACCAGAGTCTTCTATTTTGACACTTTGGGTTACAAAACCATAGGTATAAATTCAGGGGACAAGTACTAAAGGATGCAGATCCTCTCATCTCAGTTGGGTTTATGAAATGGGGTGATGGGGTCAGGTGAGTAATGTTTTCAATCCTCAATACATCACATCCCCACCTCCTCCTGGGAAAGACATGGGGCCTCTCCTTTGATAATCAGGGCAAAAACAGGCGTGGCAACTTTTTAACTCTAAAAACCCAGCCGGTGACCTCACTTCCAGTAATAGAGGTTCCAGCTTACACTTCTGGGGTCCTACAATCTCAGGTCACTCCTCCTATTCCACAGCTTCTTTCACATGCCTACAGTATGTTCTCACATTCCCCCAACCTCACAGAGTGTTGGCTCTGTGTCCCTTATCGGCAGGACCTATACATGGCAGCTCCTACACACTGGAATTCCTCACACCTGTCCTTTCCACACAATCCAGCCATGGTAGGCCCACTGCGGGTCTATCCCTCTCAACAATGGCCAGTTAACCTCACCTGCCTGATCTCTCAGGTCAAAAACACCTCTCTACAGCTAGACGATCTACCTCACTGCACACACTACGTTACGCACACACAAGACAGGGCTGTCTGTCCACCAAAGGGATGCTTTATAGGATACAAAAAGGGAACATACACTTGTCTCCCCACAAGGTGGACAGGGTCATGTACACTGGCCTTGTTAGTCCCTGCCCTAACAATAAACTCTCAAGATAACATAGAGATGTCACTCCTGTCCAAATCTCCAGATACTCATCTAAACTGCAAAATTAGAGGTATTCATGCTCCCATCCTTATAGGAGTAAGCATTTTCACAGTATTAGGAGTAGCCATGGGAGCAGGAGAAATGGGCATGGGCATACATGCTTAAACAGCTACACCACCAGCTCTCCCTAAAACTTCACCAAAGGATAGATGACATTACACCTGCCATACGTTCACTTCAAAATCAGATTAATAGTCTTACAGCAGTCACTCTCCAAAATCGATGTGCCCTTGATGTCTTGATGGCTGAGAGAGGGGGCACTTGTGCTATGTTGGGAGAAAAGTGCTGCTACTTCGTAAATAAATCTGGAATCATTATGGACAAGGTAAAAACCCTTCATACCTGGCTTGAGCATAAACACCCAAAACTGAAAAACTACCTCTCCTCCACTTCACCATGGTCCTGATGGGCACCATTCTTGATACCTCTTCTGGGCCCTATAATCATGATAATGGCCTGTTTGCTGGTAGGGCCCTGCATTTTTAAACTTTTGTCTAGTTTTGTTCAATCCAGGCTTCATGCAATCATGGTCAACGAACCTTTCACTCTGGCAGACATTCCCAACATGCGGTCACGCAGGTGACACCTGCTGTCCCCTTACCTCTATTATGGTGATGACCCTATTCAGCAGGAAGCAGTCTAAGAAGAGTCGATGCCCCCCATAACCAAAAAGACGGGGATGAAATGTTCTCATAATTCCTTTATAGTCGCGGTGGCGCCACCTACTGGAGACTATATGCCATGGCCAATATGGCACTGGCCTTTAGAGGCCATGTGCTAAGCCCCACTCTTCTTCCGAGTCGAATTACGACTTCCTATTCCTCTTTATGTAATATACTGCTTCATTTTCCCACACTCCTGCCCAGTGCTAGCCTGCCATGTCAGCTAGCCCACCCCCTAAACCCAGCCTCTAGCCTGACCATATTTAATTAACCATTGTCCCCATGACCCAGCCCCCAGAAGATTCTCTTTCTCTGTCAATCTTCTCTGTGCCCTCCACAATAAAAGTGTTTTATGGTTTTATTACTCTCTGCGCGGCCAACCGGACACCTTTTACTGAGAACTTCTGGGGCTAACATCCTCATCTTCCCCTTCAGAAGAGGAGACAGGCTCACAGAGGCCAAGGCATTTGCCTAAGGTCAAAAAGCAAAGGCGGAACTCACCACCAGTCCTCTATCCTTCCGAGCGTGAAAGGGAGGTGACAGGGTGCGGGGGAGAACAAGCAGGGGTGGAAAGGAACAATGAGGGTCTGCAAGCTGAAGGCAGAGCCTCAGTGCTGCATTCTGTAGACCCCCTGAGGGGCACCAAGCAGGCTGGTAACAGTGCATCCCCATGGAAGACACTTCCGTGGCAGTGCCCTTATCAAGTGTACATGGCTGTTTTAGATGATATTTGTAAACACTATAAAAAGGAGACTCCTTGCATATTCCATAGACAATGGACAAATGTGTCACTTCAGCTCATTTGAGTTTGCTTCATAGGCAAAGTTTTTCACTTGCAGGTCTCAGTGTGAGCCATCTCCGGAGTCCCTTGTGAGCTGCAGGGCTTCAATTCTTTCCCAGAGACAGTCTTCCCTTGAACTTTGAGCCTTACTTTGGAGGGGGTACGCTCATCTCTGAACCTTTGTTTTATGCAAGAACGTACTAGATTTACAGCTCAGTTTTCATGCCATCTTCCACTCTGGGTGACTGTATAATGAAACCTATCTTCTCACTTTACTAGTGGGCACTAGGGCAGGTGAAAAAGGCTTTCAAAGGCCAAAGAACAGCAAAAGGAGCCCTGTCTGCCCTCTCTCCAGAGCCCTCTTGCTTCTCCCGCCACAAGAGCTGCTAGTCTCCATGGAGCAGACTATGGTATAAGCCAAGAAACTGCTCTCATGAGTTTGCCACAATTTTGAAAGACAAGGAAAAGAAAGTTATCTTCAGTTCTTCTCTTTCTAAGGAAATCTAACCTCATCCAGCAGGAAGACCCCTCATGCTCCTAACTGAGACTTGGAGAATCTAAACACAACTGAATTCCTAACAGCTTCCCTCATCGCTCATCAGCAGAGGGGCATTTTCAGTTCTGGCCACTAGATGGCAAGGCAAGGACAGCTGCAAGGAAGAAAGGCTCCATGCTAACTGTATAAGGTGGTACGAATATTAACTTACTTGAAGGGGAGCACAAAAGTCTGCCTGTGGTCAGTGTTTAACAAAAGCTACAAGACCACTGGGAGACCAGGACTGGCCACTAACCTGGCCTGGTCAGGCCCTCACTGGCTGGGTCAGGTGGGGGAGCAGGACCAGCAACACCCTCAGGGAGGTAGAGATTTGGGTTGTTGTGCTATTTTGGCTCATGCCTTTAAGCACTCCTGTGCCCTCCCCACCCCATTTATGAGCATGGCCTGGGTGTCCATGGTGTGCACAAGCCTTCCTCAGTGCAAGCTGAGACCACGGCAGCAAGAGAAGGCAGCTCCTGAGTGGGTGGTCACAGCATTGGCTGTGTGGGGCAAGTTACATTCACTTGCTTGTGAGCTTTACTCACTGCAAATGTCTACATAAGCATGTGAGCCTCCACTGCTTGCTTGCCCAAGGCTCACTGAGGAACAGAGGTGACAGCTCAGCCAAGTGCAGGGCTCTCTGCTCCTTCTCCTGCCCCGCTCCTGTGGTCTGAGCAGCCACAGGGAAGTCCTAAACCTAATGTAGTGCCATACCTGCCTAATAGGCGGGACCTGTCCAATCTCCTCACCAAGTGTGGAAGTGCTGCTGCCTCTGTGGTCACAGCAGGCATCACACGCCACACGCTTACACTCTGCCCGTTGGTCATCCTCTTTTCTTGTTTGTTCACCGAACAAACTCAACTCTGTACTCCTTGAGGCCTTGGCCCTGGCTGTGCAATGCCTGTGCCATCACTTCCTCTGGCTGGCTCCTTCTTCCCTTCAGTGTTGGTTTCAGAGTCACAGCAGAGAGGCTCCCTGATCACCCACAGGAAAGCAGCCTCCCAAGCCCCATCTGTATCTCACTTCACCCCATTTTAATCACCTGCAAAACACGTACACGGGGACAAGAAGTCGTTCTGCAAGCGGGCAGATGGTCCCTGGTTCACCTACTCAGCTCTGCATGCAAACCAGCCACTGACAAGAGTAGATGAATGGGTGTGGTTGGGTTCTAATAAATTTACAAAAGTAAATGAGGGTGGGTGGGCTTTGGCTTCTAGGCCATTGTTTGACAACCCCTGACCTTTCTTATTTACTCTCTGGCTTGGTTGTGTCCCCTCTGGTGGATCTGGCTTCTCCTGTGCCTGTAAGTTCCTGGCACACAGTAGACACTGGTACACCTTCTAATGGTGTGCATGTGTGGGTACTATCGGGTACCGCACTGCTCTTTAAAACACTGATGAGTCTGTAGGAATCTAGTTTCCGTTCTGCCAGCACCATTATCCACTAATTTATCAAGTTGGTTTTTGCCTTCTCAGAAGTTACCAAATTTCTACAGGTTGACAGGGAGGACCAACCACATTCTGGGGAAGCCAGATAAGAGCTCAGAGAGGTAATGTGGCTTCCCATGCATGGCAGGGCAGTTAGGCCCACATGGCAGGGAGTGGCAACTCTTAGTTATGCAAATGCAGTTTAATTGTGGTCGAATTTTTATTTTTTTGTCTTTTTGAGACAGGGTCTCATTATGTAGTTCAGGCTTGCCTTGAGCTCTGAATGACCCTTCTGCCTCGGCCTCCCAAGTGCTGGGATTACAGGTGTGTGCCACCATGCCTGGCTTTGTGGTCAATTTTTAATTCTGGGCAACTCCTAATGTTTTCCTACTTTCCAAAATATTCTGGGCACCTCTCTCCTGTATAGGCTTATGCAAAACAAACTACCTTTAATATCAGTTAGGGTAAAATCCAACTAGAACAACAAAAGAAATAAAATAAACCAACCCTCCAAGCCCTTGAAAATGGTATTTTAACAACAGATGAGAATGGGACTTGTGGGCAGAGTTAGTAAAATTGGATGCTAGAGGAAGCTCCAAATGGAACATCTCACTGCCTATCATGACAAGAATTCCTCTCTTTCTACAACAGAAGTGTGTCTAGCTAAGCAACAGTGCAGCTCTGGACAGGTCTGGAGGGTGGACAGGGCTTTATTGGCAGGAGTTGCACAGGATGAAGTGAAAGGGGCAACCTCCTACTTACAAAGTGGCAACCACCAGCCTGAGCATAGCTGTGGGGACTTTGAGAGACCTGCAAAGCAATGGTATGCCAGTAAACTAGCTCAATGGGAAATGGGCAACAAGATTTACAGGATTTGCTGATTCCTGTGGTGTAAATGCTCCCACCGTGGCTGACTTCAAGACTTCAATAGGATGTCACCAAATTGGGAAGTGATGTAGAAGGGCAGCCCTCAGGGACAAGACCAGAGGTTCTAGCACCACTGCCTCTAACTCGCTCCATGTTGAACAATACCAGAGTATACTCCACATACCTCTGCCCTGGCTCATTTCCTCCCTTTTCTCAGTCCTTGGCTCTGAGCTCCCCACTCACCCTCATTTCATAAGTTAGGCTGACAGAGACTCCTTGACAGCACTGGCTGAAAGGCCCTCACTTTCATGGGTCAGGCCCCACATTGTCTTACCACCAGAATTGCCTCTCTGCTCTCCTCCATTGAAGCAGGTACACAGATGGCTTTGGCTGTATTTCCAGAAGGTGAATCCCCAGCCAGTGTTCAAAAGTATACTCCTAGGGAATGTCAACTTATGAGGAAAAACAAAGGAGGCACTGCTTTTGCAAACTGGTGCATGTGCAAACCAAATGGAATGGTGAGGTCACTGAAGGCCACTACCCCAGCTGTCTGGAAGGAGAGCTTGCCCCAGGAGTGAGCCTGTGTTCAGCCTGCAGGGGTTCTCAGGGAAGGGCCCCCTGCTGAAGTGGTGTCAGAAAATGCAGAGGCATTTTTTCGTTTTCACAATGAAGTAGGGGAAGGGATGCTATGACATAAGATGCTTGGAGACCAGGGACCCACCCAGTCCAAACACTACCCTGGTGAGGGACACTGGGAAACAGAAGAAGAAATGATACTGGTGATGAAATGACAACAAATGTTCCTCAGTGTGAACTACCCTCTTCCCTCTCTGAAACCCCTTGCACCTTAGTTGTGAACAGTTTCTTCTTCCAGGATTCCAAATGTAATTGCAAATAACCTTACTGCCTGGCTTTCTCTGCAGGTATTGTACAACCTGCCAAGAGTCTCACCCTGTAGTTCTCAAGGATGTGGCTGCGACAGGTCAATCATTTCCAACAGTCAAACTCCAGTATTGGGTGTACCTCTGTGCCAAGCAGGTATTTATGTTGGGACTTATTAAAAACAAAACAGCAAAATACCAAAAAAAAAGACAGAATGTGATTAGCAATGCTTAGCAGAGCGCTCTTCTTTTTTTGGCTACTGAGAAACTGATACCTAGTCATTTGAAAGACGACAAAGGCAGACAAACAAGAGGTTTTTAGGTATTTTCTCTGTGATACCAAGGATTAAACCCAGGGCTTTTGCACTGAGCTATATCCCCAGCCATTATTTTTATTAAGTGCCCAAGGCTGGACTCAAACTTGTGATCTCCTTGCCTCAGCCACCCAAGGGTGGGGATAGCAGGTGTGCACCCACTCCCCCAGCTATGAGAGTCCTGCAGAGGTGGAGAAAGGAACAGAAACCCAGGTTCACCCCACCAGGAGGCGTACTCCAGGGAAGGTGACCACACAGGTGCAGCAGATGTGCAGCAGGCCCACTGTCCTCGCTGGTGACAAATCCACTGCACAACAGCCTCGTGCCCACTGAAAGGGCACCAAAACCATGACTTCCACTTGAGGCCAGAGTGTCAGCTCTGCACTAATTAGCAGAGGTGTTTCCTGCAAGAACTCCCCTCCAAAAGCCTGCAGATATGGTACCAGCCATGAAGATGGCTGAAGGGTGGCTATTATGACGAATGATGCCCCAGAGCTCCAGCCATGGTAGCACCAGCATCCATGCCAAGAGTGCTGTGCGTGGCACAAACTCCAGTGGCAGACAGGATGCTCACCGTGTGCAGATGCTGTTCTTATTATTTACTATTTACATCCACCCATCTGACCCTCATCACTGTCCTCCCTCCAGTGCACAAAGCAGGCCACTCAGGCACAGAGCTATGAGCAGCCGGCTGTTGGCTAACTCATCTGCCAAGAATCTCACAGGACTGGGACTGGAAGAGAAGAGGCTTGAGCCTGTGCCCTGAGCTGCCATGCTGTATTCTGCATATCAGAGGGAAGCAAGAGGGACCTTCTTCTTGGATTCTGAGTGTAAAAGGATTGCTGGCCTACATCGGAAGTATTAAAACAACTCTTCTTAAGCCGAGCACACTTGTCATCCCAGCACTCTGGAGGCTGAGGCAGGAGGATTGCTGCAAGTTCAAGGCCAGCCTACGCTACACAGTGAGTTCAACAAGGCCAGCCTGAATGGCATAGTGAAACCACGTCTCAAAAAGACAAAAAATAAAAAAAAGAAAAAAAGAAAACTCTTATTGGCCATGACATCTTCTTTAGAGAAAAATCACAGAATAATGATGAAATTCAAAATAGTGTTATTCCTTCTTCAGTGGAGAAGCTGGAACATGCAAGAACCTCCCCTTCACACTGAATCCAAAATTGTAGGCTGCAAAGCAGTCAGCTACCCTTCCCTAAGGGAGCACCCCATACTCTCCTCTTTCTTTATATTCTAACTACAACAGCAGTGTAAGCACAATGCAGAAATCTTGGGCAGCAGAGTAAGGGAGAAAGATCCTGTATCTCACAATCCAATCCAATCCTGGCATCTTTTCTCTGTTCTCCCTTTATGCCTCTTTTCTGAGCATTTATTATTTTTTTCACGCTTGTCATTGTAAAGTACATTGGGTTTGCATCCAAACTGGCAATCTATTTTTAAATGAAAGAACAAACTATTCCAGTGGGGAGGCAGGCAGCAAGACACAGCAGAATCCAAGAAAACACCCGTCCCTCTGCCAGAGGAAGGTGGTCTCCAGTGGTGGCCCCTTCAACTACTGGAGGTCTGGTGTTTGCAGTTGATTTTTCCTTAAAGAGAAGCTGACTGCACAGACCCACAGGCCCTGCTCTATACTATGAGCTTTGGAGATGGTATCAGTATCCCAGGCCTAGAAGAATGTGACCACTGCATTTTCTAGAATGCCCGGTTTGAAGGGTGCTGGTCATGATGGGGGCTGAGCAAGGGCTAGCAAACATGAAGGGAGGACAGTACTGCTGGCCATGGCTGCTGGGGAGAACAGGACCTGCAGTCTTTCTCTGGAATTTTGGGAGGCTGAGAACACCTAGCAAAGCACAGCTGCATAGCTAGGGACAGTGCTTGCTTGCTTGGGAAGCCTTCCCCCAGGCTTCAATGAAGTGTTCTGTTCTACCACTGGATTCTAACAGAGACCTGACTGTGGTGTCCAGGAGCCTATGGGAAGGCCAGATTTCCCTTGTCTTTTCACTACTGATGGGTGCTGCAAGGCTCAACCAACTTAAAACAGCCCTTTTATCTACCAACTCTACACTGCAGCCAAAGCCGGAGGTTGCAAACTGGGGCCTGGATTGTGTTCTGTGGAACTGATTAGCACTGCTTCAATAAAATTAATTTAAAAATTAGGAACTTTGTCTTAAAAGTTATGTTACTGTGGGGATGTTTTTCTAGATCTTGATTTCTCTGTCTTTCTCCTCTGCTTCCTCCTTCCTTTCTGGAATCTCAACAAGAGGAGGAATCAAATTTCTCTAGGGGCCTGGGAGATCTCTGTGCTCATCGTTTTTCCATCTGATTCCTCCAGGTCCCCTCCCAACATTCAAAGCACAAGGGTATACAATAATGACCTATGGCATGATCTCCCCACCATGTCAGCTCAGAAGAGTTTAACATATTCATACGCACTTGAAACACTTGAGTTTTTCCAACTTCCATTCTGTACTAGCAAAGAAATTATCCCAATCTTTATTCTCATGAAAAAATTAGGAACAAACTTCTAATGGATGTCAAAGGTAATACATCAACCTCTGTCCTGCAGGCACTTTTCTGCCTACATGACAGGAAATTTGGGGGTATCTTGAACATATTTTGGACAATATCTTTTCAAAAAACTAACTGAATCATCTTTTTATTTCTACAAAGATTGTTTTAAATTATTACATGATTGTTAGAACACATCTGGAAAGATACAGTAATGTTTAAAGGAAAGATTAATAACTCACAGTAGCAAAAATAAAAGATACCATATTATTTTTTTCTATACTTTTTTTTGTTTTTTTTTTTTCTGGTACTGGGAATCGAACTCACGACCTTGCACTTGCCAGGCAGGAGCTGTGCTGCTGAGCTAAATCCCCAGCCCAAAGGGAAATTTCCAGTGTTGTCTAATACTCTTTTTTTTGGTACCAGGAATCAAACTCAGGACCTTATGTTTGCCAGGCAGGCACTTGTGCCACTGAGCTATATCCCCGGCCCTTCTTCTATACATGTTTAACATAGCAGAGATTATAAAGTGCATGCAATTCTTTTGATCTGAAGCACAGGGACACTCTATGCATTAAACTCTTGAGACTAAAATCTCCTCAAAGCTATTTCTAAAGACCAAGAAACATTCTCTTCCATAACTGTGTGATGTTACTGCTCCTAAAGTTTCCAGTTTTGAATACTGCATTTTAAATAATAGCAAATAATAGCTATCTTTGTGCATGGAAGTTTCCAGTGTAAAGGGCATGGCTGCACTGAAGTCTCTTGATATATGCTGTTATGTGGTGGGATGCAACGGATATACTTGCATCACTTATCCTTGTCCATTTCTGTTAACCTCAGAGAAGTGGCATTTGTTAAACAGGAGCTGAAGTGAATCTGGAATCTCAGTGAAGGAAAGAAAGGGACAAAGTCAGCATTCCCATCTCCCTTCTACTTTATGGAGGGTTGCTCAGAATGGAGAGGGTGAGAGAAGGAAGACCAGGCATACCACAGTAAAGAGACCAAGTTATTTTTCAAGTTCAGCTAAGGAAGAGAAAATCTGATAGAGAACTTTTGCGTGTATGCCAGTTGATACACAAACTACAGGACAGGGATAGATGCTCTTCCTGTACGTGGGCCTAAAGCTTTCTTTTAGTTATTCCCATGGTTTACAAGTGAACAGACTGGGAATTTTGCACAAAAAAACAAGTAGAGAATTTCAGATGGGTAAAAAGGATTTCTCACCTTTCGGAGCCTTGCGAGGAGACCCGCCACATGCTCATGCTGTTCTGACTTAGCAAGATCCTCTGCTGTCTTTCCATCCTGTTAGAGAAAAATCAGAAAAAATTTTTCCTCTGCAAAAGGCAGCTCCACACATGGAAACTGTTGGTCTCGGGCATCAGCAGCAAATCAGGCACACAAAGAGCACGTTTTAGAGTGCTTCCCTATCTGAAGGACCTTGTTTTATTTGATTGCTCAGAAAAGGAAGAGATGGGAACAAACAAAGCACCCAGTGGTACAGTAGGGAGATACCATGGCCTGTGAGCTTCTGTTGAAACTCATCCACTGGCTCAGGTCCTCTGTCCTGGGCCCCTTTCTCGAATCATCCAGACAGTCAAGAGTGTCGTTAGATGTTACATTTCCTCCATGCAAGCTCATGTCTTACAGCACTCACACAGCCAAACATAGCCTTCCTAGAAAGCCAGCTCCTGGTAATTACTGATTCTAAAGGACAAGTAATAGTCCAGCAGATTCTGATTTGAAGATTTCTAGTGAACACACAACAAAGACCTACAGACCTGGAACACTTTGATGTTTGGTTTTTCATTTGAGAATTTTCATAGGGCTGCAGTTTTGTGCTGACTGGATTTGTCTACAACATGCATGTGCACAACAAGTGCTTACGTTTCTTGTGATCCTCCTAACAATCCTGGTCAGCCCCAGTTCTCAGGGCTGTGTGCAGGCGACCGTGGAGTCATGGGGGTTTGGGTGGGGGTGGGGGAGCTGCAAGGAGAACTTTTTACATATGACAAAGGAGGATCAAGGAATGTTAAGTACACCAAAACCTGAGGCGACATCATGAAACAGGATTTGGAAGAGCTGCTGGTTCTTGAGTGAGTGGAAGGTGAAAGAAGCTCAAGGAAGCAATGTCAAAGCCAGAGAGGTGGATGCATTCTGGCAAGGGAGGAAGACACCCATGGCTCAGGCTACACAAAACTTCTGGGGTTCTGCTTCTTGGCCAGAATGGGACTACAAAGGTGTTTGCTTATAATAATCACTACATCATTTGCTTATATGCTTTTGTTTTTAAGTATGTGTTTTATTTTACAAA